TGGTCCACACTCGATCAGTCAGAGCTGGTAATTCATCTCTGCCTCATGGGCAGGGTCAACCCCCCACCAACCTTCCACCTCTGATCCCACCTCAAATCCCACCTCAACTTATACCTCAGCCTCCACCTTAGGTCCCAATTATGTTCCCTCCTGTTGATCATGCAGAAGGAGGAGATGAAAACCAACCTCATGCCTCAGCTCACAATTCCACTTCCACTGCCAACCAAGACGTAGTGACAGCTCAGCTTGCTGCCATACAGCAACAGTTCGGTGTTTTTCAGTTAGTACTGGCTCAGTTTTTAGCCAGAAGTAATCCTGGTGACCCCCTCATTAATTTATTGAACCCCACTCAACAACCCCCAGCTCCACAACAGAATCCTCAACTGGTTCAGCATGCTCCCGCTATTAGTGAATCTCAGGGTCAATCCCATATAGCACCTGCTCAACAACACATCCCCGATGATGTTACTCGCCGTCTTGATAGCTTGGAAAAGCTAGTAGCTGAACATCGAGGTGCTCCACCCCAACACCATGCTGTTGATTATATACCTCACCCTCTGAATACCAACATTACTCTAGAACCCTATCTTGCTGGCTTCAAAATACCACAACTGGAGACTTACGACGGGACGAAGGATCCCGATGACCACCTGCATGCTTTCTACTCTTGTATGCAAGCTCAGAACGCCTTTGACGCGTTGATGTGCAAAATCTTCCCCTCTACTCTTTGAGGTAACGCTCGAACTTGGTATTACAGTTTACCTCCGAGGTCAATTAGCTCGTATACAGAAATGGCATCTGCCTTTGCCACTAAGTTTTCCAGTAGAGGGTTGATTAGGAAAACTACTTCTGAGCTGATGAGAGTTAAACAGAGGGATGGAGAATCTCTAAAGAACTATATGAGCAGGTTCAATGATGCGGTATTGGAGGTTAGTTCCTTTGATCAAGCTGTGGGGATTGCAGCTGTGATCTCCGGTCTTAAGCATGACAGGTTTAGAGACAATTTGATCAAACATGCTGCCACCACTTTCAGCGAGGTGAACGACAGGTCTCTGAAGTTTATAACCGCTGAGGAGTATGCCATGGCGCAGAATCCAACTCCCACTAAGAACCAGAACCCAGAGTGGAGAGATGACAATCCGAGCCGGAAAAGGATGAGGATGGCACAGAACTGAGGTCCAGTGTTGACCTCCCCACCGAGATTCGGAAGGCCAAACTCCACACCCCCACAACAATTTGCAGGTAAACCTCCAGTTAATTGGACCCCCTTTAATCTGCCAAGGTCACAAACTTTTATGCAGATTAAGAACAAAATGGACTTGAGACGTCCTAGCCCAATGCGAACTGCTGCTGCTAGTCGAGACCATACCAGATATTGTGATTTTCACCAGGATCACGGCCATACTACAGAGCAGTGTAACAGTTTAAAGTCCGAACTGGAAAGTTTGGCTCAGAAGGGAATGCTGAATGAGTATGTTCAGAGAGCTGAACAGCCGAGGTTTGTCAGAGAACAGAGGCCACAGCCTCAAGGAGTCCGCAATCCCCCAAATAGGCAAGGTGTGGGATATCAGCAAGCCCTACCTCTGCTTCCACCACCAGCTAGAATCATATACATGATTACGGGAGGCCTTAAAGCAGGTGGACTGAGCTCTAAGCAGCGAAAGCTATATGTTAGAGAGGTTAAACATCAAAATCGAGCTCAGAAGCGAAAGCTTGATGATGCTGAGTGGAAGAATCAACCCATTACTTTCACATCTGCTGACCTCGACACAGTTGTTACACCCCACAATGATCCTCTGGTCACTACTGTCATGATCAATAACTGTGAAGTACAGCGTGTCCTTATTGACACTGGGAGTGCACCAGACATCATGTACTTCCACTGTTTCGAGAGTCTGGGACTAGATCCAGCATTGTTGCAGAAATATGATGGTCCTATTTATGGCTTCAACAACCAACCTGTCCCGGTGGAAGGAATTCTTACCCTCCATGTGGCTTTTGGGAGTGGCCGAACCTATGTAACCCCTTCAGTCCGGTTCCTTGTCGTCAAAATGGTGTCCTCTTTCAACATTGTTATTGGCCGACTCACATTGACTGAAATCCGAGCTGTGGTTTCCCAGTCTCACCTCTGTATGAAGTTCCCAACTCCTATGGGAATAGCAACACTACGAGGAAACCAGGAGGTGGCCAGACATTGTTATATCACCTCAGTAACACAACCAACGAAGGGCAAAGATCAGACACCCAAGGTCATTCCCCAGCGAATTTCTGATAATCAGCAAGTTATGGGTGTAGAGATCATCGATAATTGACCAGACGATGAAACCAGAGCTGCTCCGGTCGAAGATGTTGAAGAAGTGCTCATTGATGACAGAGATACGAGTCGAAAGACGCAAATCGGAACTAGATTGAACCCGAAAGAAAGAGCTGAGCTGATAGCTTTTCTCCGAGCTAACAATGATGTATTCGCGTGGACTTCGGCAGATATGCCAGGAATTCCGAAATCAGTGTCTCAACATAAACTCAGCACCAATCCATTGAAGAAACCAGTGGCCCAGAAGCGGCGTCTCTTCGGGGGGGAGAGACTCCATGCTATTAAAGAGGAGGTAGAGAAACTTCTACAAGCTGGTTTCGTCAGGAAAGTTGATTACTGCGAATGGGTGGCTAACCCAATCCTGGTGAGGAAGGCAAACGGTAAATGGTGAATGTGCATTGATTACACAAATCTTAACCACGCCTGCCCTAAGGATTGCTATCCAATGCCGAGCATTGACAAATTAGTTGAAGCGGCTTCAGCCAATGAGAGGTTAAGCCTTTTGGACGCATATTCGGGGTATCACCAGGTGCCAATGGCTCCAGAAGACGAAGAGAAAACCGCGTTCTATGCTGGCGATGAAATTTATTGTTATGTCATGATGCCGTTCGGCTTAAAGAACGCATGTGCTACTTACCAGAAAATGGTAACCATTGTCTTTCACGCTCAGATTGGCAAAAATCTGGAGGTATATGTCGACGACATTGTGATAAAGAGCCTAAAAGCAGAAGACCATCTCGTCGACCTCGACGAAACCTTTAACAACCTCAGAAAGAACAGGATGCGGTTAAACCCAGCCAAATGCATCTTCGGAGTGGAGTCCGAAAAATTTCTAGGTTTCATGGTGTCTCGAAGGGGAATTGAAGTCAATCCAGAGAAGATAAGAGCAATTGCCGAGATGGAACCGTCGAAATCAGTGAAGGATACACAGAGGCTGACTGGAAGGGTGGCAGCTCTGCATCGGTTCATATCGAAGTCAGCAGATAAATGTCTGCCATTTTTCAAAATTATGAGGTCGTCCGCTCAGAAAAACGAATCAGGAAAGCAAAAAAAGTT